ATGTGTCCCTGTATAGCACCAAGCTTTAAGAATACAGAAGCAACTAAGAGAATCCTCCCAGTATCTGAGAGTTCTAAGCAGGGATATTGTACCCTTGTTCCCTGACAGCATTCTACTCTTCCCCTTCGGTATGTCACCAAACCCTGGATGCTACAGTGAGAGGAAATAGACATATTTGAAAGTTATCTGCTCATCTATTTCATCATTAGCAGCAGCAGGCCAAGTATCAACTCTTGAAAATCATTAAGATCTTGCCCAGGTTTTCCACACAATGTCTAAATTTTATGCACTAAATTTTATGCAATGTCTAAATTTCTGCACTATGATCTTTGTAGGCAATGTGCATAGTGAGGGTGTTTGATCATTCTAAGAATTCATATTAAAAGACTAATGATTTAATAACAATATAATGATATATGATAAAATACAGTGATTGAATTTTTAAAAAAGTCTTAACAGTAAAGACACATTGCAATTGATCAGTTTCTTTGAACACACTGATCCCATCATTCTTGATGCTTTTTGAAGCATTTCTAGAAGTCCTCCTTCATGAATGTTGTTAGTTGCCCTGTTATGGCTGCCTCAATGTCTTGAATTCATTAAAAACATTCACCTTTGATGGTCATTGTGACTTTAGGGGGGATCCAGAGGTTGCCCAGTGCCATATTCCGTGAACTAGGCAAATGAGGACACACCATGATGTTTTTACAAGCCAGCTTTTCCATTGCATGATATTCAGCAGCAGTATTCACCAAGTTTTTTTTTCTAAACCACATTTCCTTCATAAAGACATGAAGACATAAAGAAATGCTCGTGCATTTCCAGAATGCTTCAGAAAATGGCAAACATGATAGGATACATGTATTCAGAGTAAGGAGAAGTATTTTGAGGTATTTCCTCATGTTTTAAATGAAGTTGGTGCATTTCATCTACAAGGTCTGCTGCAGTCAGTCTGGGTTGCTAACAATGTGGGTGGCTTAAATAGCAAATATTCATTTATCATGGTACTGGAGCCTGGGAACTCAAGGTGATGGCATATTTGATGTCTGGAGGATCTTACTCCTGGTTTTCAGATAGTTGTCTTCTTATTATTCCCTTACATCACCTTGCTTTGGTGCATGTGTGTGTGTGTGTGTGTGTGTGTGTGTGTGTGCATGCGTGTGCCTGCACACATAGAAAAGAGATCTCATCTCTTTTCTATAAAGTTATTTATCCCACCATGAAGGCCTTGAGATCTTATTTATCTCTTCTTGCCTCTGAAAAGCTCCACCTCCAAACACTGCCTCAGTAGAGATTAAGGTTGCAACATAGGAATTTAAGGGAAGGGACACCAATATTTAGGCTATAATAAGGTCTTTTAATAAACCATTCTACAATTAAAAGAGCCTGTCATACACTAGAAATGTGGTGTGGGTGGGACTCAAAGTTTACATTTAGATGAATTTGGTTTCTAATCTCAACTCTGAATTTTACATTTTTGTGACACTGAACAACTTGTTAAGTACCTCCAGGTCTCCATCCCCTCTGCTGTCAGACTGTTTCACAGTAGTGCCTATTTTTAGAATTGCTATCAAGTTTAAGTAAAAATCATGCCTGTAAAACTCTTAGGACATTGATTAGCATAGAAAAGACCCTTAATAATAGCTTCTAAATGATGAGAAACAACCAAAACAGTGGAGCTTGTTGAGACAAAAAATGGCACTGCTTGACCAGTGCTTTGGTAGAAGATAAAATTGGTCTTTGACCATAAATTTTATGAGTCTTCATCAGTTATAACATTTTTAAGGTTGAAGTAAACATAGACAGATGATGTATGAGTGTGTATGCCCAGGCCTGTGAACAGAGACCAACTGTGCCTTGAAAATCTCCTCCCTCATTTTTGGGTAATTAGCTAAAATTCTACTACCACAAAGAATTTCAACTAATATGCCACTTCAAAATTTGGAATATATTTTACTTATACTAGATTATTTTTATTTCATTGAAACCAAGCCTTTGTTTTCAGGACTATCATTATCTAAAAAAACTATTTTTTTCTTTATATACCAGCAGGAACATGTACAATTAAGTGTTACTGACAGGAGAATAAGCAAAGTAACTGACCACACATGCTCACACACACACACACACACACACACACACACACACACACATTTCTCAACTTTCAAACCCCAAATTCTCGTAAATCACAACTTGACATTCATGCCATTTACTGTAGACTATATCCTGAAATACTTAATATTTACATTTTATAGAAATTGACATTGCTTTTTCCTGCAGTCTGAAGTCAGATAAAAAAGTAAATCCAAGTCTGCTCCTCATATGACCTAAAGTGTCAAGGCAACAAATTCATTTGATCATCAGCAAGAAAGCAAACTCTATGGTGCTTAATGGTGGGCTTTTCAATGCATTGCATTATTCTTGAATAAATTCTTACTTGGGGACATAAAAATCATAGTAGTCATTTCTTCTCATAACCACAAATATCAAAGCATTTGCTATAATTCTAGGCTATTTAAAGAGGAAAGAAAAAATACACAGTACAGAGGAAATCTTGAGGCTTGCGATGGAGTTCCTTATGTTTTCAGGAAATTTAAGCTTCCAGAGGACAAAGAGTAATTCTGAATGCTCATAGGCAGTAAAACAAAATCTAAACATCACCCATAACTTAATGCAATTAACAAGCAGCCCACTGAGTTGGAAATTCAAGAGGACCATGTCTCTATGGGAATTTCAAGTACTTTTCTCTCTTTAAATCGTGTTCAAAATGTGCTATAAAGGCCTCTGGGATTTACTTCTACATATTTGGTAGATTTATGTATTTTGAAAAGAGATACCAGGAATCTGTTCCCGGAAAGTGACTTTAAACTCTAGAAAATGATCTGATGTTTTGCCCTTTAAAGGAAATGGATAAAAAACCAGTAGGATCCTGTGAAATGAGCGATCTCCTTGATGGAGCCACACCCTTACCCATGCAGCACGAACTTGGCTCAGGCTATAATTATTTTGTGATTTCTTCTTCACCACATAGATTCAGTATTGATTTTTAATTAATAATAATGTCCTCAATTTATGTGCTTACCATGTCAGGAAATCTTGAGTGTTTTATAGTTGACAAATTCCAATTTATCTTCCTAAAGTCCTGCTGAATGCAAAAATGAAGTATCTCAGTTGCATGCTAAGGAGGAACAAGTGAACCAGAAAGGTTAAAGGCTATGGAGCATTCAGGAATCTAATAATAGAATCACCAATTAAAATCCCTTAGTTTTGACTTGTAATTCTATTTCCTAAAATCATCTGGTCAACTTTGGTTATGTCTTTGGAAAAGGAAGATGATCAGAGCAATTTTTTGAAGTTGTTATAATCAACTGAAGTTTATATTTCTTCTCATTAGTTTGGTAGTATACAAAATATATCTTATGGACAGGTTTTCTCATTGGACCACTTGTATTTTTTTAGTGGACTCAAGTTAAATCTTTAGAATCTTCTAAGTTACACCTTCAGATTTTTATTTCCTGATAAGGGAGAAATGCAAAACTTAAATTCTTGACATTGGGTAGGTAAAATTATGATTTTTTTCAAGCACTGGACTCTCTCCATCAGCCACTTGACATTGTTTAGCTGATGAAAGATGAAAGAATGTCCTCAATGAAATCCTGCTCAGAACCCTTCACTCTTCCTGAGCCTCTCCACTGCCTTTCACTGGAATTTCCGACTCCCCAAAGAGAAAAGTGTTTTTCCTCGATTCTCTATCTGAATGGATCTCTCCTTGGGGAGAGATCTGTGAGGGGTCACAAATTCAAAAACTTTTGCACTACATGCTGAAATGTAAGCATAAGAAAACGGAGATGGAATGCAGGATGGGGAGTGCACAATAGGGTGCCACAGCCAACTTGTGGCCTGCCCAGGATATGGTCCCTGAGTTTTTCACTTTATTTTCCTGACAGTCTGTCTCATGGCAGCCAAAAGCAAGGACTCTGGAAGCAGCCTGCCTTGGTGTGACTCCCAGCGCCATCATTCCTCGCCGTTTGCTCTAGTGCTACGTGGGCGGTTGCCTTAGGATTCCTGTGCCTCAGTTTCCTTTGCTGGGAAAATGAGAGAAATGCTAGTATTTTACTTCATAAGGACATTGTGAGAACTAAATAAAATAATGTACTTAGAGCTCTTAAGTAGTTATTCACGTAAATTTTTGTTGTATAGTTGAGGAAGGAACAAATAAACAGTTACATCCTGCCTACTGTGTGCCTGGCATTGCTTTCAGAAGTGGGGAGATGGTACTGACTTCAGTATCTCCCAATTGTTAACCAGGCCCAGCCCTCAGCACATGGCTTGACACACAGCAGGCACAATGTTGAATTAATAAATGAACTGAAGTATTCTCCCAGAACAACATGAATGCCCAAATTATATTCGGAGCCACGATGGATTAAGTAGATTACATCCATGACAGCTTAACTCCCTGTATGTTAGTGAGTTCTTATTCTTCCTCTCTGAATATTCATTCTGTATGGTATCGGTTTTTTTTTTTTTTTTTTTTTTTTTTTTTTT